TGCTTCATTTGGAACTTTTGATGGCTCATATGGATGTCTATTGGATGTGAATTGAATATCTTTATGGTGATATTGACAGTTTAACTCCAGGATTTGATCAATAAGGAGTTTGTAAGAAGATCCATGAATACCTTTGCTTTTTCCCTTTTACAGGATCCCATCTCGATTTGCTCAATTGGTTGGTGATTGTGGGGTATAGTGTTGGATCTGATGCTGTACTGATTGTAGTTTAAGGCTAAAGCTTGAAGAAAGCTTTAAACAGCCATAACAAGATTCATCTATAAGAAAATAGGAAGAAAAAAAAGTAGACTAGTGTTTAACAAGCTGTTGATCCATGTGGTTTGCAGCCTCACTATTTAATAATACAAGTTCGATCCTTGAGAAACCGAGTGGTTGAGAGACTTTACTTCAAGAATTTTAATTTTTTTTGTATTTGGAGGATCATCTCTCTCTATACGCATGTCAAGATATGCATTACACATATATATCAGACATAGATGCTATAAGAGAAATGAGTACTCGGAGTAACATAAGTCACCATTTCTTGTGGAGTTATCACACTGGAATTTCCAATTTACATAATGGTTTTAAGTAGCTATCCTACAACTTATGATATTCGATTTAGTTGTTCAACTTATTTAATTGCTTATTGTTCTTGAAAGTGCAGTCAATATGATAAGTTATGCTAGATGTAACATAGATATATCCGGACATTGTTAGATTATTACCTACATCTTTGCTGATATCAACAAAATCTAGTCTACATACATAAATACAAAAACAATTAATTCTTTGTTTGTTGCTTGTAGATGGATATTGTCACCTTTTTGTTTTAGTGTTATTGCACACAGTTACACCACAGGGTTGTTAAGAAGGAATAGAACTAGAGTGAGTGTTGGATATGGGTATGTGTCCTAGACAGGTTCAATTTTTTTTTTCCTTAAAATCCATTTCGTGCATTTGGTAGATACTTTGAGGAAAAAAATAAGAATCAGAATAATATAGATGGAGACAGAGAGTATATAAATTTGAAATGCAAATACATACATTCAGAAGTTGATAGGAAACTCGGAGAAAAACTTCCCTATTCAAACGATTGAGACTAGCTAGAAGAGTATCTGAATATGATTCAAGACATATAAATTAGGTGCCTTTGATTTTCATGCTCATTTTCATATTTTAAAACGAAAAAGTACTTCCAGGATGGATCAAACATGACATTTATTTACTTGGCCAACACATTTCATTCTTTTTTATATTTTCTCGTTGGACTTCTCATGGCTTACTGTGTATGTGATTTCATATTTGCTCTAAAGTTCAGAGATGTTAAGGTTTTTGCTTATTTAAAATCTCTCTGCAGCGCATTCTGATACAACCGTGGCAAGGATCTTGGTTGGCAACAAATGTGACTTGGAAACTATCAGGGAAGTGAGTGTTGAAGAAGGCAAAAGCCTAGCTGAAGACCAAGAGTTGTTCTTCATGGAAACATCAGCTTTAGATTCAACAAATGTCGATAAGGCTTTTGAGAGCGTTATACGAGAGATATACAACAATGTCAGCAGGAAGGTCTTGAACTCGGATACTTGCAAAGCCGAGTTATCCGTCAATCGGGTATCCCTTACGAAGAGCGAAACTGATGGATCGAAGCAAACAGGTAGTTTTTCTTGCTGTTCCAGGTGATCTTATACAAAAGTGGAAAGAATGTACAAGGTGAGGCTTCCCCATGGCGTGTTTAATTCATTTTGGTCGGTTGATTTGCTTTTTTTTTTTTTTGTCAATGGATGTGTTTCGTTGAGTGTTTCTTTTGTTACTGAAAATCATGTGATATTTCATAGTTTGAATTATTGTTTTCTGGTTAATGAAAATTGTATGAAGCCGTAAATGAAACACAGGCAGCCATCTCATTTCACATTTATTTAAAATCTGGATGTAAGTGTACGATATATGTATGTCAAAACTTTTTAAAGTTGACTGATTTATTTATCTATTTATTCATGTATTTGAAGGATTATAATTTTATACTTTCATCTGATTTGGACAAAATATTTCTAGAAATGTTCAATCATTTCTGGGTTATTGAGGTATTCATAGGATGAATTGGGTTCGATATGAACAGCTTAAATCTTTGTTAATTGGTTTAGTAAGATTACAATGCGACCAATGGCATCAGCGGGGATAGCTCAGTTGGGAGAGCGTGAAGATCTGAAGGTCGTGTGTTCGATCCACGCTCACCGCATATGTCCTTTTCCTTTTGATTGATATACTTGATACAGGTTCCACTGGGCCTGACCTAAAAAGCTGACCCAAATACCAATGGTCCATAAATTTGTTATGAATCCGCCTAATACTAGGAAAATATATTAACAAGAAATATACGTTTTTTATATAATTATTTCTTAAAAAAATAATAACCTCCTAACAGAAAAACATTTTCACTCCCTTTTCATTTTTTTTCTCAAACTAGAAACTCTATTTTTAGTTTTTCTATTATAAAAAGTTTAATTATTATTTACCATTTTTATGTTCATTTTATATTTTAAAAAATCTATCACGATACTTCAATCAATAGAATAATTTGTTAGTTCATTTTGTATTTTAAAATTTTCATCATGATATTTCAGTCAATAGAATATTTTGTTAGTCCATTTACTTAAATTTTGCCTCAATTCATTTTATAATTTGCTACAATTGAATTTTATAATAAACTCGTATATAAAATATAATTAATCGTGCTCGTGTTATTATAATTTTTTATATTTCGTTACACATTTTAAATTAATTTTATTTTACTAATTTAGCTTTAATTAACAATTAAATTAATTTATTTAAAAAATAATTTTTTTTATTTCAAATTCAACCATTGAAAAAACTATATACAAAACAACCAAAAAACCAGTAGCTATACAGAGCACACAGACTCAATAAGAGGAGCACAGTCCCTGATAGATAATCTATTGGCAACAAGGGGGACACCCAGATAATGCACCAGGAGCTTTTCACATCTAATCCCAGTAACCTCCCTGATCTCATTCAAAACAGACTCACTCAAGCCTCTTTCTTGCATTCAGCTGCAAACCTGAAACTATAAAAGATCTTCTACACCTCCCAAACTCCCAAAATCGAGGCAATGGATCCCTTGGTGAATACTAACAGATCGTCAGCAAAACAGAGGTTAATGAGCCGAACCCTATGATATTTCGGATGATAATAAATAACACCGAACTCAGCCGCCCTATCAAGCAATTTAGATAAAACGTTCACCGAAGCCCCTTGTACCCTTTGAAATACCCCATCAATCGCACATTCGAAGATAAGGAGAAATAGGGGTTAGTGACACAAGCCTTAATCCAACCGACCATAACAACAGGCATGCCAAGAGCTTCCAAAACCAGGATAAAAAGAACACCAATCCACCGAGTCGAATGCCTTTCGAAGATCCAACTTCAAAGCATGTCTAGGAGACAAAGAAAACCTATTATACCTTTGACTAATTCCTGAGCCACCAAAGTGCTATCACGAATGCAACGCCCAGGGATAAAAGCGGTTTGGCTCTTAGAAATAACCTCAGACAGAAAAGGCTTAATCCGAGCAACCATGATACGAGTGACACACTTATAAATGACATTACAACAGGAGATGGGCCGAAAGTCACGAATATGGTCAGGGTTAGACTTTTAGGAACCAGCACTAAAGACGTAGCATTATAAGCAAAAAACATCTACGAGTGCTCAAAAAAGAACAAGACAACACTAGTCACATCCAACCCAACCACCTTTCAGGCCTTTTTGAAAAAAACTAGAGGTACTAAAACAGATTAAACCTGATAGTTTAAGTACTAAACATATAATTTACCCTTTAATAAATCAAGAGTAAAACATGCGATACTCACAAGAGCAAGAGATGGCACACCCAACTTCACCCGGAAAGCACTAATTCCAAGCCTTCTCTCCTCCACAACAATTCTCGGAGGCGGTCGGAGATGCCCAGTGCTGCTTCATTCAACTCTTTCATCCATCTCTTCACCTTTTCTTTGTACCCATTTTGCTCCGTAAAATGGTAACTGTTCAGAAACGCACGTCTAGCATGTCTTCCCGTTTATTGGTAAGTTCGAGACGATGCATGCCGGACCAAGAGCGGATTATGGCAGCCGGAATGACTTTGGCGCTTGGCATGAGGAAGATCAAGTCCGAGAGGGGCTTCATTTGAATGTATAAAGCGGAGGAGGTTTGTTTGGTTGGGATTTAATTGTCACGTAAGACGAGATTGTTTGGTGGTTGGACCAAAGGTGTTGAAAAGGCAAAAACTTGTGGCTTTGGTTGCATCAAAACATGAATGTTTTCCGTATACAAACAAGACCTACAGAGTGTAACTAATTTAACTAACATTTGAATCAAGTAAACGGTTGATATTGTTGGATGTGGAAATATATAGACTTCTTTTGACTTCAACAGATTTTAGTAACTTCTCTTCGATACTACAAATAAGAATAATCGTTTTCTAATATAAAATCTTGCATTGATTTATGATGACTATAACAACAATTACGTATACTAACGTTAAACTAAACCGATGGAAGATTTAATGCTACACTGTTTTTCATTAAATTCGTCATTCCACGTGTTAATATAGTGAGAAAAAATAATTCAAATCAGATTGATTTGAGAAAAATAGTTAACATAGTATATTTTCTTCAGTTTATGGAATAGAATATTAAAGATTACCAAATAATTTTATTTTCTTTTATCCTTCTTAGATGAACTCGATGACATTAAATTCAATAAAAAACACAATTATTTCATATTTGAATCAATTGAATAGTCTGTGTAGTTAAAGGAAATGTTGTTCTCTCCCGAGATTTCGGGGTCGAACAACGTAACCTATGTGTTACCAATGATTAAAAACAAAAACAAAAAAATTACCTCACAGCTTTAGTGCATATACAGTAAAATATCTTATTTGAAATCAAAATTAATAACAGAAAAGAAAATGTAACTCCGAGACCACTACCAACACCAAAATGCTCAAATACAAAAGCATTCGGAGCTTGATAGGAAAATATTTTTGTAAAGATTGAAGCAAGTCTAACCACGCTAGTCCGATCAGCATCAGAAACTAAAATGCTTTGAGAGCTTGTTGTATTTTACCTTCGAGGAAATGACGGAAGGCTCCTCCTCACCAGTTCTTCTAATGCCGTGATACCATAGTACAGAACCCATCCTAATCCATCAATCACCGGTTCATGTTGTTCGTACACAATGAATGCGGTGAAGGCAACAACCAGAGCTGCAATGCCATCTTATTTTCAAAATCAATGCCCCGAAAAAACTTCTCATTTATTGGAGAAGGTAAATTTGCTACTCACCAATTCTAACAAACACATCCAAGGGATAATATTCTAGCATCCACTTCGCGATATAAAGGAAAATTGCAACCTGAATAAGTTTAACACATTTGTCAGTAAGTTCAGTGAATACGCTTAGCCGCGGAACTTAATATTATGCTCATGGTTGTGCACTTGTGTATGGCTTGCATGGTTACAACCAATTTTTGAAGTTCCGGGTGTGCGAGGTTTGTGAGTTCGAAACAGATCCACAGAGTTCTAAGCAAGGTGTATGCATGCAAGCTTGATAAAAGAATCTAGGCCCTCTGTTAAAGGTCCACCCAAAACTAAAATGTTCATTGCAAACTAAAGGCAAAGGTATTGCTCAAGCAGGTTTTCAATTGGCTTTGTTAAGTCTGGAATTATTTCCGACACATATCCAGACAGGAAATAACTTTGAAAAATTGAACACATACCCAGACACCTATCTCTACCTATCACTCATAAGGTTTTCTTATGTTTTTCTATGTATTTAGTCGGTCCTTAAATGGTAACATCTCAGTACTCATGTATTTAGACTGAAGCTTGGACATGGATGGAAACTAGAAAGAAAGAATAGTAATAAAAAGCCAATTCATCTATAAAATATAAACCTTGAAAAACTTTCCCCAGTCTTCCCCCTTTGCCAACAATTTGATGTGACGAGCTCCTCTATTCCACGTGTATGATACGGATCTGAGTGAATTTTTCAGAGTTGATTCTGGGATTTCAAAACAAGATGAAGATATCCTTTTAACAGCAAAAAACCCTCTGTTGCAAAGACAATAATCATAATTGAGACAAGATACATGCTCATGTGCTTGAAAAAGATATTTCATACAATATTACAAAGGTCAGTAGGTTACCGAAGGGGAAAAAACTAAACTTGCAGACTTTATAAGTTAATAAAGGGAAATGTTAAATACTTTAGAGAGAAAAAAGATTTCACGTATCTCAGTGTTCCATACGTTGTAAACAATTAAACAACATTCTTCGATTGTTTTAGGTGTGGGGTGAAAAGGGGGTGGAGTTGGTGGAACTAATAAGCTACTTTTGCTGTATGGAAAGAAAGCCTGATTCAGTCATGTTGACAGAAATGGAAAAAGTGAACCAAGGGAAACATGATAAAAACATCACAGAATCTATTTAACTATAAAAACTCAACGGAAAAACAACAAACAATCTTTTCAAACCCATCCTGCATCATTAATGACTAACCTGCAGCAAAACCAAATCCGCCTTGTGGATTCTACACCATTCTGCTTTGAATAGGAGGGTTTTTTTCCCTAAAAAGGTGGGGGCGGATGGTGAAGCGGAGTGGTTTCGGTTAATTACTCCTCTCCATTTTCACCTTTTGGAATTACTATATTACTGCTAAAAACGGTGTAATGGAATTTTAATCATTAATAAAAAAAGTGGGTGTATGTTGTGGAGTGATTATAAATGTATCTGACATCCATAAAAGAACAGGGTGGAGATGGAAAGGGCAAACCCCACGCCCTTACCCTCACCATTTTCATCCCTGCCTGAAATGGAGCAAAAGCAAAAAATAACTGAAAAAGGACAAAGGAAGATGGGTAAAACATAGAAACAGGAAAATAAAAGGGAATGAGACCAAATGGAAGTACCATAAAACAGCTAGAGTATAACTAATAATACTCACATATTCGCTGATAAATTTCCATATCCATAAAGAACGACAGTAACTAGCAGCAGAAGCTTGGCTACAGATGAGGTAAAAGTTCTTCCGCAGCGAAAGAACCAGTAAAATAAAAAAGCCAGAACAAGGAAGCATAAAAGTGTTCTCTTTGCACTTCTCCACAGCAAGACATCTGCAACTGAATCAAAGTAATTGAGGTCATGCTTGCAAAATTGCAATATCATGACTCATTTATTTACAGGAACCAATTTGGATGCATGAAGATACAGACTCTACAGCAATATCTTGAGCCTTCAATTAATAATAAGCTGGTGGATCTTGTTTTATTCGTCTAACTTTAAAGGTTGACATAAGAGGTTGAACTAGCTTCAGGTTGAAGCCAAACTTGAAGAAAGAAACAATAAAATTTCAGATATTCTTTCCATATCACAAGTTTTGGCATATAGCTAGCATTAGAATGGAATTTAAAATCCGGTTTAAGAGTGGTGGTCAAAATAGTAAGCAAAAGATGCAAATAGTTCCAAGATAAAATGTACAAATTTAGGAGAGGAAAAGATGCAAACAACTTACAACTTATAGGAAATTAGGCAGCAAAGAAAAGGAAACAATCCCTAAAATTCAGGAACTAGAATTAGAAACTATTTACACTAAGTCAACTCCTAGAAATAAGGAATAATTTTATTCCTTGATTCTCAGAATTCCAACACTCCCCTCAAGCTGGCATGTAGATATTGATCAAACCCAGTTTGCCACTAAGTTCTTCGAACATGCTTTTATTTAGACTCTTAGTTAATAAGTTTGCAACTTGTTGTTTGGTGGGTAAGTAGGTAATACACACGTCCCCTGAGTTGACCTTTTATTTGATAAAATGACGACTAATCTCCACGTGTTTGGTACGATTGTGATGAACAGAATTATGTGCTATACTAACTACTGCCTGGTCGCCACAGTACATCTTCATTGGTCTGACATGTGGTATTTTTAGTTCTCCCATTAGTCGTTGTATCCAAATCCCTTCACATATTCCATGAGACAAAGCTCGATACTCAGCCTCAGCACTACTACGAGTTATGACTGATTGTTTTTTACTCCTCCATGTCACAAGATTACCCCATACATAGCTACAACAACCACTTGTAAAGCGTCTGTCATTTACTGAACCTGCCCAATCCGCGTCGGTATAGATCTCCATATATCGGTTTGTTATTTTCTTGAAGTGTGGACCTTTGCCCATAATTCCCTTTAAATATCTTAATATTATGTAGGCAGCCTCTAGATATTTCTCTCTTGGTGTATGCATGTATTAGCTAATGACACTCACAACAAAAACAATATCGGGACGTGTGTGTGATAGGTATATGAGTTTTCCCACGAGTTGTTGATAACTCCCCTATCTACTTCTTCCCTATCTTTATTAGTGCCTAGCTTCAAATTGAACTCCATTGGAATCTCGTAGGTTTGCAACCTAACATGCCAGTCTCAGTGAGTGAATCAAAACATTTGCCTGCCCCTGAGTATACTCCCTGCTGGTCATGGCCTTAGCAAAACAAGTGAGCCATACTCTTAGGAACTATTTCAGCCTGTATAAAGATTTTTTTAGCTTGCACACTCGACCCTTTTCTTATTCATATCCCGATGGAAATTCCATATATACCTCATTGTTTAACTCACCATTGAGGAAATCATTTTTAACATCTAATTGAGTCGAGGGCCAATCAAGGTTGTAAAACAAAGTGTGGTCTGTCTGCCCCTGAGTATACTCACTGCTGGTCATGGCCTTAGCAAAACAACTGAACCATGCTCTTAGGGACCATTTCAGCCTGTATAAAGATTTTTCTAGCTTGCACACTCGACCCTTTTCTTATTCATATCCCGATGGAAATTCCATATACCTCATTGTTTAACTCACCATTGAGGAAATCATTTTTAACATCTAACTGAGTCAAGGGCCAATCAAGGTTGATGGCAAGAGAGAAAAGAACACGAACAGTGTTAAATTTTGCAATGGGTGCAAACGTCTCATCGTAGTCAAGGCCATAGGTTAGAGTGAAACCTTTTGCCACAAGTAGTGCCTTGTGCCAATCAATGCTGCCATCTGGCTTGAACTTTTTGGTGAAAATCCACTTACAACTTAGTGTTTTCTTTCCTTCAGGCAGATTCAAAACTTCCCATGTTCCATTATTTTTTAGTGCATTCATTTCTTCCATTACAGCACGTTTCCATTCAGTTGATTCGAGGGATTCTTCCACACTTCTTGGGGTCTTTACATGATCAACATTACTCACAAAAGTCTTGTATGTCTTAGATAAATTTCCATATGATACAAACCGAGAAATAGGATGTTGGGTGCATGTCCTTGTGCCCTTACTAACAACAATCGGGAGATCAATGGATGATGATAACGGGGATACTTCAGATACAGAACAGTCCCTGGGTTTGGATGAAATTGACACTGCTGTTTTGTCAGTTTTATAAGAATGACGGCACCGAGAATAAACAAGTAGGTTAGGAGCCCGTTGTTGTTAATCTTCAGAGGTAAGAGGTTGCAGTTTTCAGTAGAAGGTCATTGGAGGGGACAGTGGTATTTCCTGTGGTGGGTGAACAGATAAATCTGGAATTATAAGGACTTCTTGGCTATTAGGATTTTGTGCGGCACGAGTGGAATCGGAAGGTATGATAAGAAGGGTATTAAGTGTCTCGTCTTTATTGAAAGTCTCCCCCTAAAGATGAGTTTCTGAAAAATAAGGTTCAGTTTCAAAGAATGTGACATCTTGAGAGACAAACATGTGACGCAAGGTTGATGAATAGCATTTGTATTCCTTTTTTGTGGGAGAGTAAACAATGAAGACACAAATGTGAGGCCAAGGGTCAAGCTTAGACTGTTTAGGTTGGTGACAATGGATAAAGGTCTTGTAACCAAATATTTTCGCTGGTAAAGTAGAACACGGAATAATGGGAAGGCTTTTTGTAGGGTATTTGGAGGTTCAGGACTTTGGATGGTATTCGGCTTATTAGGTAACATGCAGTATGGACTTCATCCCTCATAAATATTTTGGGACATTCATGGTGAACATTAAGGCTTGAGCAACAGTTAGAAGGTGTCAATTTTTCCTTTCGAAAATCATGTTTTGTTATGGTGTGTCAGGACAAGAACTTAATGCTTTGATCAAAAAGGTATGGGCTTAAAACAGAGTTGAAATACTCTCCCATTATCGGTGCGAAACGTGTGTATAGTGGAGTTAAATTGGGTCCAAATCATGGAATGGAAGTTCTGGAATATTTTTGGTGTTTCCGATTTTTCTTCGAGAAGATAAACCCAACATACTCTAGTATGGTTATCAATGAAGGTTATGAACCATCTAGCTCCCCTGACATTTTTTACTCAGCTAGCCCCCCATAGGTCACTGTGTATCAAGGAGAAAGGTCGAGATTGAATATATGGTTTTAAGGGGTATGGTATACGGGTATGTTTTGATAATTGACAAATTTCACATTTCAAGGAATTGGTATTTTTTATTACGGAATAACAAGGAAAGCAAATGCTTCAAATACAAAAAGTTTGGGTGCCCTAGCCTACGGTGCCATAACATGATGGTGTCCTCGTTTGAAGCTGATCCTCCTTGCAATTTGTCCTGCTTATTCTTATTAGTAAGGTCATTCCATATATAGAGGTCATCCTCTATCTTAGTAGTGCCAATCATCATCCCCGATTTCTATTCCTGTATAACGTAACCTAAAGCATAAAATTCAACAAGAACATCCCTATCTTTAATGTGTTTACTGATGGATAGTAAATTGCAAAATAAATTAGGAACATGTAGAACTTTCTCAAGTAAAAAATTATTGGTGAGTTGAATTGCTTCTACGCCAACAATGGATGAGTATGAACCATCTGCTAATCTTATGTGGGATTGGTTGTGACTGAGGGCATATGTGTGAAATAGGGATGAGTTACCTGTCATGTGATCGAAGGCACCTGAATCGAGAATCCAAGCGGACTGATTACTAGAATCAGAAGTAGTGTTAAGAGCAGTACCTTGAACGACCAAAGATCCATGAGAGGTTGAAGTACCAAGCATCTTGTGGAGAATTTCAAGTTGAGACCTAGTTAAACAAACATCTAGGACTTCTTCAATGGGAATAGATGAGGTGCTGGAAGACAGCAAAGCCTTGTTGTCTTTTTGATTTTTGTTGTCCCAGGATAGATGTGAAGTTTGAAGCACTTCTCCTTTGTGTAACCGGTGAAATTGCAATGGCTATACCACGGGCGATCTCCTAATCAATTTTGTCCCGAGTCATTTCTCGCTCGATTTTTCTGAAATGGAATACCTCTGGAGATAAGGGCAGAGGTTTCAACAGAATGGTGACCAATGTTGGTTACAAGTTTGGGTTCATTCATGTCTCCCATCACAACTCGACGACCACGTTCTTCTCTCCAAACCTCTGCAAAGGCTTCACTAATGGCTGGTAAAGGAGTTTTGCCCAAAATATGGCCACGAACTTCATCTAATTCACGGTTCATCCATGCTAGGAAATCATAGTTGTTCTTTGTTGAGGTGAGCCATGAACTTGGTGTACTTCACGTCGTCACCCCAATCTGCTTCATAATACATATTAAGTTCCTGTCACAGGATCTTCAAATTGTTGAAATAATGAGTTACTTCAAGCATTCCCTGTCGAATGTCTTTTAGCTTGAGTTTGATCTCAAACACTTGAGAGGCATTTCCTAGGTCAGAATAATTCTCCTTAACTGCATTTGCAGACTTGAACAATAGGTAGGTACAACTTATATGGCTTTCCATAAAGTTGATCAGCCATGCCATCACAATTGAGTTATTGAGTTCCTATGTAGCATAATAAGGATCTGTTAAAGGAGGATGTGGAATCTCTCTATTGATGTATCCTACCTAATTTGCTACGGCCTCGAATTACCATGAGGACAAATTGAGATCATTGTAGGAAATTCTTACCATCTAGATGGTGATTATTGATGATAAAGAGGAATTGATATCGCCATGGGAGGTTACTTGATTGATGTTCTGAGTTACTTGCAAAGTTTTAGATTCGAATGAGGTTTCAATGTGGTCTCCCATAAAAAGAAAGGCAAAAATCAGAGGGGTTTCTAACGGGAATAAACAGGACCGAAAGAGACCTAAAGCTTTGATGCCATGCACAAGTTTAGGAGAGGAAAAGATAATTTTATTTTCTGTATCTTCCAAAGAATCAACAGCTTACAACTTATAGGAAATTAGGCAGGAAAGAAAAGGAAAGGATCCCTAAAAATCAGGAACTAGAATTAGAAACTATTTACACTAATTCAACTCCTAGAAATAAGGAATAATTTTATTCCTTGGTTCTCGGAATTCCAGCATAAAAATCTACAAATAAATTGATCATCTGTTCAATCATTGAAGGATGCTACTTTGAATTCTTTGGTTAAATATAAACTTCAGAAAAAATGCCTATGCAATGCCGTTATGAAATTCTGAATAAAAAGAATCATAAAATGGAATACCTATCCCACTGCCTAGCAGCTTCACAGCTTTGATTGTGTTTAAACAGTTGTCTCTCATAAAAGATGAGTCTTTGGCTAAATGAGAGAATGATGCAATGGTTGACCTGACACCATCCTGTATTATAAAACAATGTCAAACTTGCAGTTAAAAACTTGAATTCTCCCTACTTGATCTTGAAAAAACATTTTCATGTGATTGAAGTAATTGAAAATAAGAAGGGGGGGTTTCTTTCAAATCAAACATTTCTATGTGCAGAACTCAGCTAGTGCTTATATCCAACATTAATTATCTCTTGGGATTTGTTTAGGCAGGGGTTCTGAGATTGATGGGTGGAACCAGAGATCCCTGGTTGCTGAATGTTTAGGGTTTATACAGGGAGCTAGAGGCGCTGGTCATGGTAAACTGGTGGCAGGAGTAATGTATGGTGTGCAAATGGGAGCAGGATCAGATGTGCAAGAGGGCAGGGTAAGCTGGGTGGCTAAGGGGTGAAGGTTTTGCGTGTTTGTGATTTTTGGGGGAGGGGTGGGGAGGCAGGTCCAAGAGGGGCACTCACTAGGACAGTGTGTAGGGGCCGTTGGAGGGGCAAGCTGCTGAGTCTGCTTCTAGGGCAGGCAAGTGGGTCAAATGAAAGGAAAAGAAAAAACATAATAGAGAATGAAATTGTCTTTCAGCTAAATACTTGGGGAAGGAAAAGGACAACGGCAATAAGGACAAAACAGCTATTAGATTCCACAATAAAATCTTGACCCCAACGGCCATTTTCTCTTCATCCTACAGCTTTTAGGTTTGGAAAAGCAACAAGGATACTAATTCTACCAAATCCCAGTTATCCAATCATTTCCACTTAAAGTTATGAGCAGGCAGGTTAAACCTCACTGTATTTAACTTCCCTTAATAGATGTCCAACTGTCCTCACAATGGATATCAGTAGAAATTTGAGCAAGGATACATTATACTTGTTACCTATCTACATTACAGTTTACCAGGAAACAAGTTTAATTGACCGTACACAAACTGATGAGTTATAATCCAGTTGATGCTTTAGAAGTGGAAACAAGGAGCAGTGCTTCTACCCTATAAAGATCAGTAATATGGAAATAAAATACCAACAGATGAGAAAAGCATTCAATAGCAGAAAAAGAATCTGAATGCATCTAAGAAAAATCTTTGGCTTGTCAAAGGGTAAGAAGTATTCTAGTTTCTAAAATTCCCAATATTTATAATGAAAAACAATCAAACCTTACTTCTAGGAAGAGGAAGACAACAGGTAAGGAACAGATGGCATGAATTTCATATAGAAGAAATAAAAGCATTTACATGCAAAAGAAAGAGTGAAAACTTACTTCTAGGTTGAACAGATCAGACGAAAATTACATAGTAGAAAGAAATGCATGTCCAGACAAAGAGGTAGACAACAGGTAAAGAAAAATAGATAATGGCAATATTATATAGCAGAAAGGAATGTGTTTACATGCAAAAAAGATGTCTGGAACTTACTTCTAGGTATATAACAGGGGAGTATCCAAGATGCTTTTGAGCTGCTGAGCAGTCAAAAGTTCTGGTACGTGAAGCTAATTGAACAATGTAGTGCGGAGAATATTTATCAATTCTGAAGTGTGATTCCTCATGTGTATGTTGAAGAAGTGAGAGAGTATAGGCAAACATCCAAGATGGAACTTTTATGAATGGTCTGCAATGCAGTCAACAACTAAATTTAGGAGAAAATATTAAAAAACAATATTTTTTTAGTAAAAAGGAAAAAAAAGGAATTTTTTGTGATTGCTTCAACAGCCAATCTAGCACAAAGACAGATTCACAGAAATTCTCAACTAAAAGAAAATGAGAGTTCAGAGAAGGCAGTTAACATGATGATAAAATATATAAAGACATGTACTACAAAAGTAGGAATCCACAAAACCCTTTCTTATACTAAGATCATAGTCGGTGGCATTATCTGCTGATGGATAGACATTAAACAGCTCATTTTTAAATTCAACTATCAAAATGAAGCATCCAAATAAAGAATAAGGGTCCACAGCATATTGCAGTTTCTTTGTTTTCTCCTTTGGCCCATTATTACCTCTTTTAGTTTGGGAAGTGCAGAGGATTTAGGTGGCAATGTGTGGCAGTGCTTGAAATTTAAACAATTTGAACCATTCTTAAAGCCATGTTAGTTTAATATATCCACAGCATAGTAGCCTACTGATAAAGTAAGAATCGGTATGATGTTGAAGACTTTAACATATACGAAAATCAGCACAACTTGCCTTTGATACCCTAAGCCTTCCAGTATATGAGACGCAAATTCCCAAAACATCATAGGCTCAAGGTTCGTGATGAAGAAAGCCTACATATTGAGAACACCTCCCTTATACATAATTCAATATAAATTGAAGTATAAGAGAGATTTACATACAACACTTTTAAGGATTACCTTTCCAGCCACAGAGACTGACCGAGAATCTAAAGTTTCTGCTGCACAGATATGAGCATGAGCAACATTCTCCGCATAGGTAAAGTCGCACATATTTTCACCACGTCCTGTAATAAACTGAAATGTGAACCCTGTTACTATAAAAAGGATTAAACCTAAGTATATCATGCACCAAGAGATAAGATTAGATATTGAATATTTGTAGAAAATAGGTATTTGGTACAGAGAATTATACTTTTGTTCGCTGAATTTTCTTAATAAAAATATGCAAGGGAAAGAGCCTACTAATAGACTGATTACATAGAGTTCTATTAGAACTAAAACTTATATTGTTAGTCTTCTATCCAGACTTTACTTAGATAAGACTTAGAATACAAGTTAACTACTAACTAACACTAATACACAGTAATTAAATTACTGAATTACTAACTTTTACATTACTCCAGTCTACATTAATTTTCCAAAATAATAAGACAAATAACATAATTTAAATAAACAGAAAGCCGACTGCATATTGCCAAAAAGCATCAATAATATAGTATATAGTATGCATAATAACGAATGATTTCACATGAGATAAATCCAAACATGGGGAATTACAGCTAAAATGAATAGGTACTTAAAGCTGCATTGCTGTTTTTCACCTTCAGCATGTATTCTGATTATCAATGTAGCACTATACATCAGTTTTATTATGACTGATAACTGAAGAACTAAGTTACCAGTATAGCTACTGCTCTACAAAAATAAAACTGATCTTGAGACAGTTTACAAACCTTTGCCAAACCAGATTTGGCTAGATTCACTAGCAAAGGCACAAACCATGTGTCACCAGGTCCAAAGGCATTGCTAGGGCGAAGTACACATGTTGCAAGACCATCAATATTGTTAGCTAACCTGATTAGTTCTTCTGCTTGAAGGTTAAAGTCAATCAGCACATCTGGAAACTGTATAGGTACATCAACAAAAGAAAGGATAGTTAGAAAACAAGCAAGAGGTAATTCAAATCCAAAAAGTTTCATCACAGTGCAGCAATAAGAAATATACATTCCCCGGGCAAGAGAAGGATTCATCACCGACAAGTATATCCTTTGACCCATCAAAAACAACATCTGCAGAACTGTTGTATATGAGTCGCCTAACTTTACATTCTTGGCATGCGTTAATGACATTTTTTACACCTGCTCATATTATCAACCCAAGGGTACCATTTTAGAAAAATATGGTATATGATTATATACATCTACAACATCAAGAGAGACGAAACACCCATTAAAAGAGGGGGGAAACCCATTACCTTGAACAATAATCTTGTAGCAACTATAGATATCATGTGTGTCTAAATCAGTCCGTTCCATGTAAAATACAACACCAGCTCCTTCTGTTACTGCAAGAAGGTGAATAATCAATGCATTGTCAATTTCTCAAAACATTTTTAATGTTGCAAGGAAATTTCAAAACTGAGAATAAGATTTAAAAGGTAACATATATTTCAATTTATTTCCTCCCCATTTCAGTATACATTCAGATATCATTTTCTGTCATCTGATTTTCTTCAACCAAACTGAAACAGATGCATTCCATAATTCTTCGGTTGATTGGTTACATTGAGAAGGGAAACATAAATAGAAAGATTGCATAACTATAGCATTTTCACTTTCCAATTCTCAAAATTTATCATGAAACCAAATATCAGTATCATAGACGCTAATTTTACTTTCTTTCCATCTAAAACCAACACTATCTGGAATATTAATCTTTGAGGAAAACGAATCATTTCTACATTTTTCTGTTTTATTTTTTATTTCTATATAGAGAAAATGACTAAATAGAAAAGGTCTCCATTTCAATTAACAAAGGAAAATTTGAAATTATTTTCTTTTCTCAATAGAAAGTAAAACAAAAAAATAAACTTCAAACAAGGGATAAACAAATATAAGAAAAAACACCAACTAAACAGAGCATTGTTATTGAAACTTTCTTTTCATTTCCAGATAAAAACAAAACAAAAGGTATTAATATTACAAATCAAAGAACATTTTTGAAAATTTTAATAAATATTTTTTTAGATAACAAAATATATTATTACTGTATGTTATAATAATTAGTGTCACCAGTTTTTAGTCATTAGTTTTTTACTTTAATGCAATCCAACCACTTCAGAAAACAAAGGCAACAATCAACAAAACCTTATAAAATTCTTTAAGCAAATTCAAATGAAAATGCACGGCGCACACTCGATTCTCACTTAAACTAACTTAAATCATCCTTAAACTGAAAATATAAATAACAAGGATACTTGATCAAGCCATCACTCTCTGGCACTTCTCCGGTAACCAAAATGCATAAATCCGAAATGCATATATATTAAGAGGTGTATAAATGTATATTGATCGTAGATTTTATAGTTATATCTATCCTAACATTAATATAAGAAGAAATTCCTTTTACCTTTGATGATTTGAGATGTATCGCGAACATCAACATGGCAAAAAGAGGCTCGACCAGACGAAAGAGCACTGGATAGGATAGAGTCGGAAGCGGCGGAACGGTCGAGTTGCAGCAAGTGAGAAGATGAATCGGCGATACGTACGAACCAGCCTCCGAGTCGAAGCAGCCTGGTGACGAGTGATCTCCCTAAGAATCCTCGACCTCCGAGCACCACGCACGTCCTCGTCTCGTTTCCATCCCCACATGCCACGTCATCCGCCGCCGTCGTCCCAACCATTTTTAGATTATTTTCCCGTATTCTTCCCCCTTTCCCCTGTGATCCTATGATCGTCGATGTTTTCGATTATTCTACGGAGGGTGGAGTTTTGTTATGGACGTTGTGGAATAAGGAGCTGTTGGCGGGGAAATATTGCATTATTCCTTTTCCTTGGGCCTTTTTTCTTCGAGGAATACAATCAGTTTGTGGATTGAGCAGAAAACGAAAAATTGAAGGTTCCCATTATGATCAAAGCTAAAATAAATTTAAAAATATTTGCGGGAGAAAAAATTAATAGGTAAAGTATATAAATGATTATTAAATTATATTAAAAAATTTAATTTTTAAAAGTTTTAAAATTATTAAATTATTATACAATATTATTGTAAACTAAATTTTTTATAAAATTAATGATCATCTTTTAATGATTTGATCAAATTTCATTATCATTCTTTTAATCATTTAAATTGTTTTATAATTTTGAAACTTCTATAATAAAAAATAATATAAAATAGTAATCATTTATATACTTCATTCTAATTAGTATTATTTAATGTTTGAATTATTTTACCTAAAATTTAAAATATATATTAAAAATGTATTTTAACCTTCGATTTTTTATTAAAACTTTAATAAAATATATTTTTAAAAATCGTATTCTAATTGAATCTTTAAATTCTAAAAAATCATTAATTTTACTCTTTGATAAATAAAAATAATCATTAATTAGTAATACTATTAAATTTTACTTATGCTAATTAATTGTTTTAACACCAATTGTTTTTATACGGTTGGCGTACTACATAGAGTGGAAGATACAATAAATAGGCAGAGTGAAAGAAACAATAGATGTTTAATATATAATTTATTAAAAACTTTCAAAAGTTAATTTTATTTTTCATTAATTATTATTATTATTATTTATTAACTATTTTCTAAAATTTTATTTTTTAAAATGATATTTAAAAGGTAAGTACACATGGTAAGTATCAAGTGAATGTTAACAGTGTTTATTAAAATTTTGTTTTTTAAAATGATATTTAAAAGGTATTGACTACCCTGCTTTTAGTTTTACAATCTTTAAATCCAATATAAACTTTCCATGGCCAAATTTCCATTGTCGCATCTAATCATTTGCATCAATTGTTGGCAGTGACCATCATAGGGCCGATTTTAACAGTGTTAATGGGTTTTTGTTGGCGTAACCATGAAATGCCAACTTAGCTTTTGGCCTGGTTATACTGACTCGAATCATTTTGAAATCAAAGCTTATTCTCTGAAATATTTTCTGTGAGTTTATCCAAGGATATGAAATATGGACAAGGTTTTCCTGCAAGTAAAGCAGATCATGTTAGTAGGGGATGAGCACACTTTCTGTGAACTCAAAAGATTATCAGAAATGCATTTAGTTTAACGGAAAAGTTGCTTTTCATATTCTGGATTGTGAGGTGCAGAGTGTTGAGTATCGATAGACAAATATAAAAGATAAAGTACCTTACGGTCGTTGCCACTGTCGATGAGAGACTGATGATATCGCTTCCAGCACCAGTGAAAGAGTGATGATATCGCTGCCACCGTGGTGAATATCGCATTTGTCGGTGAATGAAATAAGACAATGAAAAAACTGAAGAAACTGTGAAAAAGTGTGTAAAATGAATTACCGTTTCATTTTCGGTAAGTCATTTTACAGGAAAAACTCTTTTTTCGTTGACTTGTAAAACTAATTACTTTTGTATCTCATGCCAGAATATGTAAATCATTCTAATAACACAATTTTTCTTCACTAATTTCTTCACGAATTGTTCTCTTAATTTTCTCTGCCAGAATATGTAAAATCGCCTTTTGTATCTCAGGTGAAGTGTAAGAAGCATTTTTTGGAGCATTTTCTAAAACAACTTTTCGATATCTTTATTATAAGAGACTAATTATTTCATGAGTTCAAGAAAAATTCCTCGGTTAGATGAAGATTCACTCTCGTCACGACCTCACATTGCTAGCCCTTGTAAAGCTAGCCAACACAATGCATTTATAGAGGTTTCAAGTCTAAGCCTATTATTAGCAATTTGTAATGATGTTTGGTTATACAAAACTTGTGGCAGGTGTCTAGACTAGTTAAAAAAAATCCTCCAATTCTTGCTCAACAATTTTATGAGGTGAATTAGGTTCTAACCTACATACATCTTAAAATAACAACTTTTTCCATTTACTTTCTTTCAATTTCGAAACCTATTCATAGTCAAAGTCTTGTGTGATAGATGACTATCTGATTTGTTAAAAAGAAAGCAAATAAAACAGAGACAACATCATTTTCAGGAGAATATTCTAACTATGAACGAAAGTTTTTGTACTAGGAAGCTTGAAATCGGCGAGAATGAGAAACTTGTCCAGATTTTTTGAATTCAGAGAGTCATGGTTGATATGGACCCTCAGCAATATAAGTTATTCGAATTGTATTTCTTTCTTGTTCTGAAGGATATTCTCATATTTGCTTGCACTTACCAAGATCTCGCTCTAAGTAATTAGAGTTGGTACTTGGTTTCTAATTTCTAGCTATCTTTAAAGGTTTTTCTTCCGAATGTGAAACGTCAATAGGTGTAACTGTTGAAATTTCAGTTGTTGTACTTGTATTTTTTTGAAGTTTCCCCGCTTTTTCTCTTAAAAAGCTCAATAATTATTGGATTTTTCCCATGGTAACTTGCATTTATATAAAATTAATTCACAAACATCCTTAACAATTATTAGACTAACTAAAAGAACACTAAAATTAAATATAATATCAAATAATTCTAATTAAAAATAATAAATATAATATTATGTAATTGCGTACCTTTCAAAATTGAGTGTCGAACAATGAAGAATCAAATTAAAGTAATATTGGATGAGCTTTAATCCATGGGAGGGTGATTAACTCAAGGTTTTTCTATAAAAAAAATTAATATTTTTACTCTATTTATAAGCCTTTTGTCCGCTCCTACAATTATATTAGTATTAGGGTGCGTTTGGTTCACGGAATATAAGATTACCAGTGGGAATAAAAGATTACCAAGGAATAAGATTATTGGGAATGTTACATTACTGTGTTTGGTTGGTTTGGCAGGAATGTAAGATTACAGTGTTTGGTTGGAGGAATAAAAGATTACTAGAATGTATATTTTACCAAATTATCCTTGTTCTATATTTGTTTTTTTAACAAGTGAAATTTTAAATATTTAAATAAAAATTATTTATATAAAAATTCTATTTGTTGATAATATATTACTTGAGTATTTAAATATATTATGTATTATGTATTATTTTAATTAATATTAAATTTTACATAATTTATGTAAAAATATATTACAATTTTACATCAACATTTAACTAAATGTTTACATTGTGAAAATTCTTCATAGATATTCATAATAATAAAAAGATGTAAATTATTTTTGTTATCTAAGATATAATATTTTTATTATATCTTATATATAAACTAATTTATTTATTTATCTTTTATATTTATACTTAATTCTGCATACTTTATCATTATTATTTATCTCATTAATTTATATTACAAAAACATAATTTAAATAAGTAAGAAAATATAACACTAAAAATCATATTGTCTATAATTTTATATTTCACCGTCATTCATCATTATCATATTCGAAAAGAAGATCCTAATGCCCCTAAACATCTTCCTACTACTTTCTTTTTATTCATGTAAGGACCCTTCCGTTAGCCTTTTTTGGCTTAATTCCATGAGTTTAAGTTGGCAGACAACTCTCTACTACAGGGGTACACATTTCTCACTGATGTGATTCAGATGGTTCTTATTTTTAATTTTTAGATATTAAGCATTTCATCTATGAAATTTAGGTTGCAAATGAAGGTTGTTAAAATGGGTATGTCGGAAGAAGTAAGTCCTTGATATTCAGTCATTATTTAAAATTAGTATTCATTGGAGCTAGAATTTAATTAACTTAAACCAATTATAAGTGATGCGTTTGACCAGAAACCATTTTCTTAAGAGGCTAACAGTGCTGACAAAGAAAATGATGAAGTAACTAGGAAGGCTTCATTTTTAAGAGCTGGCATTCAATTCATCTGGTAGTCCATTGTGTTGAAAACATTTTTGATATTTCGATATAACAAATTAAGTTAAATGAATTTTAAGATTTTACAAATGATTTTACAAATTTATATTCGATTCAATTAACCGAATATCAAATTATTACTCCAAGTTTTTCAAGATCAATTTTAATCCTTACTAAATGTGTAAAATTGTGATTTGTACTTAAACTATTTTTGAAACAATTTTCACAAAGTATTTTGAACCAAAAATAAGCCTTAAATCAATTATTCAAAGGCATGCACCGATGCATGCACCGATGCATCAGTCCATGCATCGATGCATCGATGATATAATTGAACATCGAATGCATTCCATGCACCGATGCACTCTCCATGCATCGATGCACTCTGAATATTTTTAAAACATCGAATGCATTTGATGCATCGATGCACAAGCCATGCATCGATGCACCAGGCTATTTTTCAAACATCGAATGCATTTTATGCATCGATGCATCCTTAGTGCATCGATGCACTAAGTGTCCCAACGGTCAAAATATTTGAATTTTACACAAATGCACCGATGCATCCTTGATCATGCATCGATGCATGAGACGCTCCACCTAGAAAAATTAATTGCTTTCATACTTAAACGGCTATATGATCTTCACTAATCATCCCCAACGTTCAGAAGTGATTCAAGGTGTATTTAAACAAGTTCTGAAGCCCTTGATCAACAAGAAATCATAGAGAATCAAAGAGAAAGCATCAAACCTCAAGTTTGAGCATTTCAAGCCTATGTTTCATCCAATATTCATTTGCTTTCAAGAAAACTTTTGTACTCAATTGTATTTATCTTTGAGTGTTCTTTTCTTTGTTCTAGAATTGTGCAAACATCTTACCTTGTGAGGTTTTCTTGTAAGTTTGCAAATTTGTAATCTTCTCTTTGGGAAAAAGAGTGTTCTCAAGAGTTGGGGTATACTCTTGAGGGATTTTGTAAGGTTATCTCTTTGGCCTCAAAAGAAAGAACAAATTAGTGAATTTGTTGGAAAATCCTTAGTGTGGATAGTTAAGGTAGTGGACGTAGACTTTGTTTGAGAAAGTCGAACCACTGTAAATCAC